ATTCTTTAAAATTTTTATTTTTTTAGGTTAATTTTTGTATTATATATATTTTTAAGGACTTTATTCTCTTTTCAGTTTATGGATTGTTTATTTTAATTTTAATTTGCTTTGTTTTTTTAGCGCATTTTTTAAATGCGCTAATTATCAAAACTTGCGAAGAGTCGTGGTCAAGTTGCGAAGGCAAAAAGAAGCGTGCGGTCACACGCCATATATGACCACGCATATAGCATCTTATCTGTTTAGCCAGCGCTTTTACGATCAAGTCTTTTTGCGCTTGTCCACAGGTATGCACGAACTTTGGATAGCGCATATAGCACTTACCAAAAAAGTAAAAGTGTTTTGTTTTAAATTGCAACAAAATTTTTTTTCTTTATTAACTTTTATTTGCGAAGTTTTTACTGAGTTATAGATACCAGCATTTATCAGCTTATTAAATATTTTACAGCAATTTTTAATCGTTATAGTTTAAATAAATTGTTACTATTGAGGTCAGCGGCTGATTGGCTTCTCTTGCTTTTAAATTTAAAAAAACGGCATCCAAAACATGTCCATTTTGACATATTAGCTTTAAGCAAAATTAATCACACTGTTTCATGCACATTTTTTAATTGTAATTCTAGTGCCTTCCTAATTTTTCTTTCAAACTTTTCATTTTCTACCCAGGGGTTTGGAGCCTAGGTCTTAAAATTGACTTCAGCTCCAGTCCCATTAGAATTTTTGGCTTTAGCTTTAGAGCAGCTCCACAAAAAACAAAAAAAAAATTATTTTTAATTTTTCATGACAGTAACTTAAGAACTAATGTTTTATCAATCAAAATTTTGATTCGTCCTTAAAACAAAAATATTATCTTAAATATCAGGTTTGAGCAAAGAATGCAGAGATCGCTTAATATAAACTTTTTTTATGTTAACTCACCTCCCCAAGGCCAAGAAGGCAACTACAGATGAGGAGGCAACTTAATTGTGGCTATAACCCTCTCTCAACTTTATAACTCCAAAACACAAACCTTGAAGAACAAGGCCGCTGCGCAGAGAAACAAATTAAGCGTGGTACTACCAGGAATGTAGTGGGAAACTTTGAACTACTCACTTATGAAGCGAGCACTCTACCAATACACCACTACCACAATTTAAGCACAGAAAATAGCCTCTACATTTACTTGTAAGACAGGCATACAAGTGACTACTCTGCATGCTTCTTGCATTATTTTTGTTTATTCTTCAATTCCTTCAAAAGCTGATTTCATTTTTAAACGTCTCATTTCTGCAATTGCCCTAGAGTCGTCCATAAAATTTATATGAAAAGTATTTTTATCATTAAAATTAATTTTGATTACACTTCTCCTTTTTCTTTTTTATCAAACTTCTTTTCAAACCTCTTCTTCATCAGTATTAGATTCACTTAAAACTGAAAGAAGTGTTGTAGGCTTAGCAGTAATTCTTATTTCTTGACTTTATTTCTTGATTAAATATTTTATTATTACTTATAAATTATATTTTTGGCATCTCTTTTATAAATTTTTTCTGCTACTTTTTTTAAGCCTTGTTATGCTCGTATTATCTGGTTTTCTTTTAACAGTATTCTATATCTAGCATCAACATAAACTGCAGCTAGAAATATATTATCAAAAAGTTTTTCTTCTCATTTCTGCATTGATTTTGAAATGTCTTCTGCAATCAGTCCATGATTCTTCTCTAGGTCAGATTTCAATTTCAACCCGTTCACAAACAGAGACGGATGGAATTCGCCCGCGAAAACACAGTACGCAATTGGTAACAAGTAAGAAATTTTAGATTAAATTCTCATAAATACGTAAGATGTCTAATAAGCTGATGTTTTTGTTTTCAATACCAGGTGATCTTTTCGGGCGAGAAAAAGTTTAATCTTGATGGGCCTGATGATTTTAGTGGCTACTGGCATGATTTGAGGAGAGAACCCAAATATTTTTCAACAAGGAATTTCGGTGGTGGATCTTTGATGGTTTGCTTGGGTTTTGTGCAACAGGAAAGTTAAATTTAGCATTTACATCTTGCAAAATAAAAAGTTCTGAATACATTGATGTGCTAAAACGCCAGCATTCACACTAGTAACGAGACTAAAGCTTGGTTTGAAGCTAAAAAAATTGATCAAATGTTGAGGCCTGCTCGTAGTCCAGATTTGAATCTTGTTGAAAACATCTGGGGAATCATTGTAAGACGTATTTATGCTGACCAGAAGCAATATAACTCTGTAGCAGAGCTAAAAGTAACTGTAACAAAATGCTTGGAGGATATGGAGCCAAAACTGCTGGAAAACATAGTAGGAAGTATGTTAAAACCAATTTATCAAGTAATTGAGCGCAAAGTAGGTCCAGTCGAGTATTAAAAATGTGATAAAAACATTTTTTTTTAATAGTTTGGTTAAAAAATGTGAACTGCGTCTATAGAAAATAGTCAGCTTTCTTTTGAATTTCATATATGATTGATCTCTTTACAAATTTGATACTATTTTTTGATAATTTTCATTATTTTTTGATACTTTATTTATAATTTATTAAAATACACTTAATACAGTTAAGTACATTTTTAAGATATAATACACATGCACCTATAGAAATGGTCGCAGTGTATTTAAAAATTATAAATATTTAAATGAGCATAATTGTTTAAATTCTTTAAAAAAATCTTATAACTTAAAATAAAATAATAACTTAATAGAAATTTGATATTTCAAAATATCAGAGGGTGGAGCTGGCTCCAGAGCCAGTTTCAGTAGGAAATACTTTAGCTCTAGCTATGTAAATATATAAAAAATATCCATGTAAAATCACCAGAGCTCCAGTTTCAGCTCTTGAGCTTCTTCAAAGCCCTGCTTCTACCTTTAATGTTCTTGTTTTTTTTCCAAATAATTTGCAAAATTTCCATCTTTGCAAAAGGTTTTATGAAATGCTAGTGCAGGTTTCTTTTCATCAATGCTCCTTTGATGTTGATGCATCCGCATGATTATCTGGACTTTTGTTTCACCTAAGTAAACTCTGGAACAGTTGCATTTTATTATATAGGTTCCATGCTGACTGCTACTAGGTAGTTTTGATTTGTTTTTTGATGAAAAGAAAGATCCTAAATTTGGGTTTGATTTAAATACTGCTCTGTATACTGTTTTTCTGAATATTTTTCAAAGTTTTGGTGAAAGACCTGGTACCCATGGTAAAATACTTTGTCACGTTTTCAACTTCAATTGTGTATTGTATAGCAGGATGTTGTTGATTTAAAATATCTTGGAATTATTTTGCTTGTTGGGATGTTAGGAAATCTTGAATGACTATAGCCAATGTACCATAAAAATGATTTTAGATTATGTCCATTTAATCGCATTATTTTCATGGAATTTCAACCATGAAAGAAAGTAAGATTGGCCCTGAGTTCTCTATTACATTAATCTCATTGTTCCAATGAAAATAACATTGAAATAAGCAAACTTCTATGAGTTATTTTGTTTCAGGTATGCTTAGTTTTGTTAAGTTTTTATATGATAAATTGTTATATAAATGTTCTAAAGTACAAGTTGGCTTCTTTTAACAAAATTGACAGGTACAGATTTACAACATCAAAAGATACCTGAATCTCATATTTGTCGATATTCCAATTTTATGCTTTTTTTATTAAATCAAAGGAGTTTTTAAATTGTATCAGATTCTCATTAAAGACTGGTTCTATTGTATTAACTAAGAATTCTGGTATACTGTAGTTTGGTGTGCCAATGGTAAAAAAATAATTATTCTCATAGGGATACGATTTTCAGGTGTATGAGCTTCGATTACACCATAAATACAAAGTGGAATAGGATCACTTGGATATATTTTATTTTTAGAAAAACATTTTTTTTTATTTAGTTCTAAAAGATATCTTTTAACTTTTGCTGCATAACTGGTAGTAGGGTTTTTATTTATAACTTTTGTCGGACCAATTTGTTGACAAACTTTTTCAAAAGTTTTAGAATGCTCACAAAATTCTTACAAAACCTGTTATTTTGTCAAATAGGTATATAGCAATGTTTTTATCATTTTTTATTCCCTTAAAAGCTTTCCTCTGTTCTTTTGTCAGATTGCTATATATATACTTTCTTGTTTCTGTTTTTAGTTCACTTAAAACGTTTTTCCTTATATTTTGTGCATTTTTTACTTATTTGTTGCATTCTAATTTTAATACAGAAGACTGTGTTGTTGTTATAATATCCATGTATGGTATTGACTTTAAAGATGGTACGATCTTTAGTCCAAGACTATAGATCGTACCATCAATGGAAATATCAGTACCGCATAAGTTAAAATCTGCATTCTTTTTTATTCTGTAGTTTTTTCTTGCAATATGTTTTCCATTATTTTTTCCATTTGAAAAAAGATTATTCACTTTGAAGTTTTTTTAATTTTTAAAGTTTTTTTTTTGATTCTTAATCCTTCCTTTGATTTGATAAACCTTCTTTTCTGATTCAACAATTTGTATAGTCTTGTTCAGTTCTAATTTGTGTAGTCTTCTTCAACAAGTTTACATTTTAGAATGTTTTGAAGTCATTTTACATCATTTATAAGATTAGAGAATCATTTCCTTGAATCATTTTTAATGTAAACTTTGTGTTCAAATTTAAAACAATAAATTATACTTATTGCTCTTTTATATTTGTTAAATTTAAAAACAAAAAAAGCCATTCAGCTGCTGACATCAATATTAACAATTTTATACAAACTATCATGGTTAAAAATTATTGTAATATTTAATGGGCTGATGATGCTCCTATCTATGGTAACCCAACAAATATTTCTTAAATAATAAAATGATTAGTATTAAGAAAAACTGTTTCTTGATGTCTTGGACACACACACTATGACAAAACATAGACACAAAAAACATGACAAAAAAAGCTATTAAAGTTAATTAATTATTATTATTATAAAATATAGCTAGCAACATATACCATTATAATCAATAAAATTACAGGCAAGTCTACAATTAATTATAATTTACCTCCATGAATAATCAAGCAGTTACTTATGAAAACAGCAACATGACTTGATCTTGCTGTAAAAACTGTTAATTTAGAAGATACTGTATACCATGAATTTAAACCATTGTTAAACTTATATGGTATTGAACAAGATTCACCAAAAAAATCATTTCCACATACGCAACTTTTTAAATCCTGCAGTAAAAATAAAAATAAAAATTTATTAAAAAACAAAAACAAAAATTTTAAAGGTAAAATACAAAATAAAAAGATATAAATAACCTTAAAAAACATGTTTCAAAAAAATCGATAAACAACACTAAATTAAGATATGATGGTTTATGACCACTTTTTCATATCTTTCTGTTTTAACATTTTAAAAAAGTGATGACATTAGTATATTAGTATCATTAGTAGACCAGGGCTGATCAGGGACCAGGACCCGGTTTGATAAAAGTAACACTAAAATGAGTCTGTTATCAATGCTGCTTGAATGTTTACATATAATAATAGTATTTTTTTTAATCGTTTATAAATTTATAAATTTATAACTTAATATTTATATATCTCTGCACACTTGACATTGCATGAAAAATCATTGATGATATCATAATATCCCTCTCTTTGGGCTTGATCACAAAGGATTTATTTTATATACAAAAGTATTCAAAAAAAACATTTTTGCCATAATAAAAAAGGAACTTTTTTAAGTTATAATGTTAGCATTTTATTTGTTTCTGCCACTCTAATATTGACATTTAAAAACTTAATAAAATTTATATATTAGAACACTACATAACCAAGTACACATAGAAAGAAACAGTGAAAGTACTCCTATACTTAGATAATGAACTTTTATCGTTTATTGAAATGCAGTAGTAGTATAATGGTAGAGTGCTCGCTTCATAGGCAAAAAGTGTTCTGAGTTCAGGGATTATCCAGGTCATAGTTGCTAGTCCTTGGCCTAACCTTAAAGCAAAAAAAAAAAAGGCCTTGAAAATTCTGGCATTGGCTTTGATTTTTTTGGCCTTGGCTTTCCACCTTTTCTTTAAGAACTCAGAACTTTCGTGTTTGCATTTTAAAAATTTTTATTTTTGTTTACAAGAGTAAACAAAAATAACTCGTGTTTTATGGTATGGTTTAAATTGCTGTTTTTGATGAGTCATTTTAAAGCTGTAATCAATGACATGATTGGTTAATGAGAACTTAATACACCTATATTTTAAGTCACATGATCTTAATGTTTTTTATTAGTTAAAACATTTCGAAATCAAAAAAAAGATTTAAACACATTTTTCTTTCTTAAAATTAAAAACAAAATTTTGAACGTTTATTGAATTAAAATAGTTTTTATTATATTTAAATTATAAATTATTATTATTTTTTAATTTATTTAAACTGTTTTATACACCTCAGATTCAAAAGCCCTTTACCAAAAAAAAAAATGCTTTTTTGCAAATAATAAAAAAATAATGTTTTATAAACAAGTATGGATCACTAGTATTTAACAGAAAAGTTTTTTTGTTAAAAAAAACTGTTTTATATAAAACAATTAATTACAAAACAACTAAACAATATTCAGAAATCTCTAATTGACAAATATTTCTGTGTCCCTGCAACCTCAGCTCCTGTCAAGTGTCGTCCCTGCAACGTCAGCTCCTGTCAATCGTATCTTTTATCAGAGTGGATGGATAATGTGCCCTAATAGAACTTGTATGTCTGATTCGTTGCTTGAAACTTTGATGTTTCTTAAATATAATAAAGACTTATAAGCTATATAATGATAGTCAATGGATATGACTTATGAATTAATGTTTAGAACTAATATCAACATATTTTTAATAATGTTAATATTAGTTGTTAGCATTAAGTGCAAAATAAAATTAAATAATTAAAAGTTTTAATTCTTTATCTTTATATATTTTTGTTTTTGGCTTTTATATTTATCTGCAAGTATATTTTCTTATTGACTTCATCGAGTTCTGCACATAACCTTCAACTAATTTCACAACATATGGTTTTATTGTCACAGCAGTTAATTTTCTAAAGGAATTTCATCTTAATTTTAAATATTTTCTCTAAAAAATTTAAATATATACTTTATAGGGCTTCACAACCAGTTGAAACAGCAATCGGTTAACCTGTTTTTTGTTCAGTTTTCTTAAAACCGAAACCCCGTTGTTTTTTTCTGAAAAAAAACGGATGTTAATTTTACATTAATAAATAAGTAAATAGTTCGAAGGTTTCTTATTTGACCAGCTAAGGAGTAATGTGGAAAGCACAAATATATAAATCTTAAAAATTGTTTGGATATTGCAATATTTTGATATACAAGTACCTAACTTAAAGTATTTTGTCAACTTTTCATTTTGTTTGTTGTTAGAGCTTCTCATTTCCTGTAAAAATCTAATTCCGGGGCAAAAATGATTAATTTCCCCGGATACCAGGAAATCTCGGGATTAGGTAACAAGTAAGAATTTATGAAACTAGTTTGGGGGGGGGGGAGATGTGTAAGTTCAAACAAATACAAAAAAAAGGGGCTTAAATACTTCACTTTTAGCAAGAAAATAATTCTTAAAAACTAAGACTCTCAAAATAAAACAAATATATACTTCAATAACATTATATTTTATATATATTAACTTTTAAAATTTTTTAAAAAGCATAAATTGTCAATAGCGCTATCACTTATATAATAGCCAATATATATAATATATTATATAATATAATATATTATATATAATATATTATATAATATAATATATTATATATAATATATTATAATATATTATATAATATAATATAATATATTATATATTATAATATATTATATTATATAATATAATATATTATATATATTATTTATATATTATATAATATTTATTTATATATATTATATATATATTATATAATATAATATATTATATAATATAATATATTATATAATATAATATATTATATAATATAATATAATATATTATATATATAATATATTATATTATATAATAGCCAAATATATAATAGTCAATAGCGCTATCACAATAGCGCTATCCTGCTACTGGTAACATGTAACCCAGTACAACCTGCTCCATGTCCTGCTGCCTTGTAGGATACGCTTTTTTAGACAAAGGCTAGGAGAAGTTAACTCCGAATTAAAACACCCCCTGCCTTGGGGCTCTTGGTTGAGTAAAGGCTAGAGATGGTGTCTCGATAAAAATACTCATCTTGGGCAGATGTTACATGCATCCAGCTGCTGTCTTGTAGAAGGCCTCCTAGGCAAAGACTTAAGGGGTAAACAGATTCTATCTGTTGACCAGCCTCGCACCCCTTCCTCACCTATTAGGCTGGCGCAGATGTATTTTTAATACATTGTTTCCAGTTTAGGATGTTGAACGCTGGATCTTCTTGACTCAATGCGTGGGTATTGCTTGTGTCTCTATTTTTATGACTGGGCAACTCATTCTATTATCTCCTAATGAGGGTACAGCTCTAAAACTCAGTTTTATGGTTCTGAGGCCGGCTGGTAATCAGGTTTCCCGAACTCTGTGGTAGCTCTCAGAGAGGCTGATTCCATCAACAGCCGAAAAATATCAGAGTACTAACAGTGCCATGTTGCGCATGGATGGTGTCCCTGTTTGTACTTTTGGTGTGCATTGCAGAGGCCACATTTGGAGCCCTTTGTTACGGCTTAGGGTTTATTAATAGTAATGAGGCTATTGCTTAGTTGTTAAATAGTGTACTGAGTACTATCTATACTTGAGTCAAGTTCTTTATAAATTTAAAATGACTAAAGTACCTAAAACTAAAAAACACAAAAAACCATCGTCATCACCAAGTTCTCTAAACCTATCATTTACTAATATTCGTGGTCTTCGAAGTAACTTTTCTTCTGTTGAGTCTTATCTCTTGCAAAGTTCACCAGACCTACTTGCTCTTTGTGAGACTAATTTGAGTTCGGCTGTCCCATCTTGTGATCTTAGTGTTGATGGTTATCTTCCTTTAATTCGTAAAGACTCCAATAATCACATGCTTGGCCTGGGCATCTACATTCGTAAGAACTCACCCATTTGTCGTGAAACTAGGTTTGAATCTACAGACTATTCATTTATGTGCTTTCGTTTAGCACAACTTCACTCTATCGCCTTTCTCTTTGTTCTATATCGCTCTCCTTCATCCCAAGATTGCACTATTCTTGATGTTATTTCTGATCAAATTGACCAAGCCCTCTCTCTTTATCCATCGGCCAATATCGTCGTTGTTGGTGACTTTAATGCCCATCACACCGATTGGCTTGGCTCTAGTGTCAGTGACTCTGCTGGCTTTAAGGCCCTCAACTTTTGCCTTTCTCAATCTCTAACTCAAATAGTCAACTTTCCAACTCGTTTTCCAGACAACCCTAATCATTTACCTTCTCTACTCGACTTATGTCTTGTTTTGGATCCTAGTCAGTGCTCAATTTCTCCACATTCACCCTTAGGTACTTCTGATCACGGTTTGATCTCTCTAAAACTATTATCAAATTCTTCTACTTCATCAGAATCCCCCTATCATCGTACCACATACAACTACCTTAAAGCTGACTGGGACACTTTCCGTGATTTTCTTCGTGATGGCCCTTGGGTAGAAATCTTTCGTCTTCCTGCTGACAAATGTGCTTCTTACATAACTTCGTGGATTCAGGCTGGCATGGAATCTTTTATTCCCTCTCGACGATTCCAGGTCAAGCCTCACTCTTCTCCTTGGTTTTCCACACATTGCGCTGCAGCAATTTCTAATCGAAACCGTTACTTCCATATCTATCAGCAAAACAATTCTCCAGAAAACAGACATCTGTTCACTATTGCCAGAAACCATTGTAAAAAGGTTTTGTCTGACGCCAAAGCTCGCTATTCTCAGGCCATTAAATCTCGTATCTCATCACAAAAATTAGGCTCTCGAGACTTCTGGAGAATCTTTAACAGTATCAATAATAAGGGCAAATCTGTTATTCCTTCTCTCTTGTATGGTTCAGACTTTGTCACCTCACCTAAAGACAAAGCTGAATTGTTTGCTAAGAACTTTTCATCAATATCATCTCTTGATTCCACCAGTTGCGTTTTACCTGACATAGCCGTCAAACAGGTTGATCCCTTGCTTGACATTCGCATCACTTCAGCTTCTGTATCTAAAGTAATTTCCTGCTTAGACTCTTCAAC